CAAGGGGATGAATACTTTTGCAAGGTACTGTTAATATTTAACTAAGGCATATCTAAATATGTATATAGTATGTCAATATGTAAATAGAACATTAAACAAGTATTTTTGCATCATACCCGTGGTCTGTTATCTGATATACATATGACTGAAATGCTGTTACAGCCTATCAGCATCCAGGACCCAAACTACACAGTATATAATGTTGTATAACCATCTTTCGGTTTAAAAAACATGGAAATTAAACACAAAGACTGAATCCGAAAAAGAAAGGAAATTCACATGAGAAACAACATGTAGACAGGTTGCTCAGGATTCAAACCTTTTCAAACAGCCTAAAACAGAGGCATGAGTTTAGCAGTGTGGTTAAGTTTATTGTTAGGTTTGAAATCAGAATTTAAGAAAATAAATTGTAGAAATAGGCGGGGGTTATGACTTTGTGGCTGTGGTAACTAGTAACGACCCAGAAAAAGGGTTCAAGCATATGAGAAATGATATTGGCCTGCAATCAAAGCAACCTCTTATTTTACCAGGTAAGTTGACTGAGAACACATTCTCATTTACAGCAAAGACCTGGGGAATAGTTACAGGGGAGAGCTTTTGAAGTTAATAAAATAATACAATTGTGAAACATATTTTTTTGGGAATTCATCCAAGTTTGTTTACTGTCTAGTTGAGCATTACTGTAACAAGAATTCAGCCTGTAAATAATAGCAAAGTCATAGAAGTAGTAGTAGTAGTAGAATTAGTAGTAGTAGTAGTAGTAGTAGTAGTATAAGTAGTAGTAGTATCAGTTGCAGTAGTAGTAGTAGTAGTAGTAGTGGGAGTACTAGTAGTAGCAGTAGTAGTAGTAGTAGTAGTTGCAGTAGTAGTAATAGTAGTAGTAGTAATAGTAGTAGTAGTGGTAGTAGTAGTAGTGGTAGTAGTAGCAGTAGTAGTAGTAGTAGTAGTAGTAGATTATATATATATATATATATATATATATATATATATATATATATATATATATATATATATATATACACTGCTCAAAAAATAAAGGGAACACTTAAACAACACATCCTAGATCTGAATGAATGAAATAATCTTATTAAATACTTTTTTTCTTTACATAGTTGAATGTGCTGACAACAAAATCACACACAAATTATCAATGGAAATCAAATTTATCAACCCATTGAGGTCTGGATTTGGAGTCACCCTCAAAATTAAAGTGGAAAACCACACTACAGGCTGATCCAACTTTGATGTAATGTCCTTAAAACAAGTCAAAATTAGGCTCAGTAGTGTGTGTGGCCTCCACATGCCTGTATGACCTCCCTACAATGCCTGGGCATGCTCCTGATGAGGTGGCGGATGGTCTCCTGAGGGATCTCCTCCCAGACCTGGACTAAAGCATCCGCCAACTCCTGGACAGTCTGTGGTGCAACGTGGCGTTGGTGGATGGAGCGAGACATGATGTCCCAGATGTGCTCAATTGGATTCAGGTCTGGGGAACGGGCGGGCCAGTCCATAGCATCAATGCCTTCCTCTTGTAGGAACTGCTGACACACTCCAGCCACATGAGGTCTAGCATTGTCTTGCATTAGGAGGAACCCAGGGCCAACCGCACCAGCATATGGTCTCACAAGGGGTCTGAGGATCTCATCTCGGTACCTAATGGCAGTCAGGCTACCTCTGGCGAGCACATGGAGGGCTGTGCGGCCCCCCAAAGAAATGCCACCCCACACCATGACTGACCCACCGCCAAACTGGTCATGCTGGAGGATGTTGCAGGCAGCAGAACGTTCTCCACGGCGTCTCCAGATTCTGTCATGTCTGTCACATGTGCTCAGTGTGAACCTGCTTTCATCTGTGAAGAGCACAGGGCGCCAGTGGCGAATTTGCCAATCTTGGTGTTCTCTGGCAAATGCCAAACGTCCTGCACGGTGTTGGGTTGTAAGCACAACCCCCAACTGTGGACGTCGGGCCCTCATACCACCCTCATGGAGTCTGTTTCTGACCGTTTGAGCAGACACATGCACATTTGTGGCCTGCTGGAGGTCATTTTGCAGGGCTCTGGCAGTGCTCCTCCTGCTCCTCCTTGCACAAAGGCGGAGGTAGCAGTCCTGCTGCTTGGTTGTTGCCCTCCTACAGCCTCCTCCACGTCTCCTGATATACTGGCCTGTCTCCTGGTAGCGCCTCCATGCTCTGGACACTACGCTGACAGACACAGCAAACCTTCTTGCCACAACTCGCATTGATGTGCCATCCTGGATGAGCTGCACTACCTGAGCCACTTGTGTGGGTTGTAGACTCCGTCTCATGCTACCACTATAGTGAAAGCACCGCCAGCATTCAAAAGTGACCAAAACATCAGCCAGGAAGCATAGGAACTGAGAAGTGGTCTGTGGTCACCACCTGCAGAACCACTTCTTTATTGGGGGTGTCTTGCTAATTGCCTATAATTTCCACCTGTTGTCTATTCCATTTGCACAACAGCATGTGAAATGTATTGTCAATCAGTGTTGCTTCCTAAGTGGACAGTTTGATTTCACAGAAGTGTGATTGACTTGTAGTTACATTGTGTTTTTTAAGTGTTCTCTTAATTTTTTTGAGCAGTGTATTTTCTGTCATAGGCTGAATTGCACACCAATTTACAATCATAGAATACAATCCAAAGTAAAATCTTAAACTATCACAATACTTTAAATATAAGACAATGTTAAAATATGTAATATATACAAAACAATAATATTACAACTCTAAGGTGTGGAGCGACAGCCTTAGAAAATACATCATTAGGGTTCTTAGGTACAATAGGCCTTAGGCACCTGGACTGTATGGTGTGTGCATTGATGAGTTTAGTGAAGTATGGAATGGGAGCGTTCTGAAAGTGGCCATACAGATATCATACAATGTCATACAATCATGTTTGCCAATCATGCAGCGGCGGCTTGTCCATTAGGGAATTAGGGGCGGCACCCCACTTGTGATTTGTCACAAAATAAGTTACAAACTTGTGATTGGTCAAAACTAAAAGTAGAAATATTTTGATTACAAAAAAATATATGATATAATTCATGGAATATGTTTCAAATGCTCATGAAAGTGTGCATGTCCAAGTTTCAATAATATATTGTTTAAAACAAGCTGTTCAGTTACTTACTACTCTGCCCCTCAGTAACTGCCAGCAGCGGCAGCTTCGCCTCCGTGGGCGCACAGGCCGTGCGAACATTGCTTGGATTGTCTTGTCAGCTACACTGAACAAACATGTAGTGTTGGTCCCATGTTTCATGAGCTGAAATAAAAGATACCAGACATTTTCCATACACACAAAAATATTACTTATCTCAAATTTTGTGCAAAATGTGTTTATATCCATGTTAGTGAGCATGTCTCCTTTGCCAAGATAATCCATCCACCTGACAAGTGTGGCATATCAATAAGATGATTAAACAGCATGATCATTACACAGGTGCACCTTGTGCTGGGGACAATATCAGGCCACTTTAAAATGTGCCGTTTTGTCACATAGCACGATGCCACAGATGTCTCATGTTTTGAGGGAGCATGCAATTGGCATGCTGACTGCAGGAATGTCCACCAGAGCTGTTTCCATAGAATTTAATGTTAATTTCTCCACCATAAGCTGCCTCCAACTTTGTTTTATAGATTTTGGCAGTACATCCAACCGGCCTCACAACCACAGACCACGTGTATGGCGTTGTGTGGGCAAGCTGTTTGCTGATGTCAACATTGTGAACAGAGTGCCCCATGGTGGCAGTGGGGTTATGATATGGGCAAGTATAAGCTACGGACAACAAACACAATTGCATTTTATCAATGGCAATTCGAATGCACAAAAATGATAACGCCCTTTTACTGTTGTTAAAAAAAAAGCCTGATATTTCTGCCTGTTTTGGTGGGATGTAGATTTGGCTTTCAATGGTGACATCAACATGTGGTAAATTAGTTAATAGACCAATAAGAAAGACACTTCCTAAACTCTCTGCCAATAACAGCTAGTTTTCAGTTGCCCCCTCCCCACTCAGACCACTCACAGACGGTCCTAGCAAAATTCTTGCTTGAGAATATGCCCTTTGCTAGGAAGCTATTTTTGTTTATTTCTGACCATTTTAATTGAAAACAATCACAGTAAAATACTTAATTGTTACACAGAAATGATTTGATATTGAGATAAAAACGGCTGCATTGGACCTTTAAGCACTGTGAGGGTAGGCTTTTATTAGATGGCAAAGTGTCAGTCAGAGACATTTGTTAATAAGATGGTTATAAATTAATTCACAAATACTTCATGAATTTGATGATATAATCTTGAAGCCCATTCAAAAACAGTATGCTGGAGGTCATTTTGCAGGGCTCTGGCAGTGCTCCTCCTGCTCCTCCTTGCACAAAGGCGGAGGTAGCAGTCCTGCTGCTTGGTTGTTGCCCTCCTACAGCCTCCTCCACGTCTCCTGATATACTGGCCTGTCTCCTGGTAGCGCCTCCATGCTCTGGACACTACGCTGACAGACACAGCATACCTAACTTGATCCATTAAGTATGCAGAACTTTCCTAGCATATATTGTTTCAGAGATGTCCATGGTTGCAGATCAATGCATACTTATCAACTAATCGATATAGGATGATTGGTGCAAAATCACCATACCAAAAACATAAACAGGACACAATTAATTCAAGTAATAAATTAGTTATGTTATTTCAGAAAGCCAATTATTTGAGTTACGCTTGGAAAGTAGATTCACATATGTCAGAAAAGTTTTGGAGACAGTGTTGCAATTGTTAGAAGAGATTTTTTTGCAGTAGCTAATTAATAGTAAATAAGTTAATTATGTTGCACCACTGTTAGCAAAGATGATTAGTTAGCCAGCTAAAATTATTTACAGTTGTTAGCAATCACTCATACACTCATTTGCTAGCTACAGTAGCGCTGCCTTGTTGATAACGTTTCCAGTTTTGTTTACAGTTAGTGATGTGACACAACTTTCATATGTATTCACTGTCCAGCCGTAGGAAAAATATCACCGTCATAGTGCACTGGCCATCCTCGATCACAAGCAATGACAACCGTCCTAGTGGGCTTAGAACCCTTGTATGTACAATTGGGATGGTAATCTCCACCTGTACGTTTACATATGACTACAGGGAAGGGATTGTTGCTTTCAAACAGATTGAGGTTCCTATGTGTGCCACCAAGACCACAGATGGCCTTGACCTGATTTGAATTGGCCACGATGAAGGTGTTCTTCCATTTGCATTTTCCATCAGGCCCTGTCAACTTCAAGTTGCTCATCACATGCTGACAATTCTGGATCGTCATACCCCCCGTGACGTGCTGTAGGAGAAAGCGTTGATAACGAGGGCTAACATCGGCCGGTTGACCGTGTACCATCACTGTGGCACATAGCAACACCAGGAACAGGAAAGCCCTCTGGAACACCATGACTTGGTCTAAATGGAGAGACAGGAGGGGTAAGTTAGACTATTACTAGTATATTTCTATACAGTAGATTACTATATCTTTCACTAAATGGAGAAACAGGAGAGATGAGTCAGACAGAGTAGAAGACTTATACTGAGTGTAAAAAAATTAAGAACACTTTCTAATGTTGAGTTGCACCCTCAATTCGTAGGTACATGGACTCCACAAGATGTTGAAAGTGCTCCACAGGGATGATGGCCCATGTTGACTCCAATACTTCCCAGTTGTGTCAAGCGGGCTGGATGTCCTTTGGTGGTAGACCATTCTTGATACACACAGGAAACTGGTGTGCATGAAAACCCCAGCAGCGTTACAGTTTTTGACACAAACAGTACTACCATACCCCATTTATAGGCACTTCAATCTTTTGTCTTGCCCATTCACCCTCTGAAAGGCACACATACATAATCTATGTCTCAATTGTCTCAAGGCTTTAAAATTATGATTTACCTGTCTCCTCCCCTTCCTCTACCCTGCTTGAAGTGGATTTAACAAGTGACATCAATAAGAGATCATAGCTTTCACCTGAATTAATCTGGTCAGTCTATGTCATGGAAAGAGCAGGTGTTCCTAATTGTTATACTGTATGTTCTGGTTCAAAACGGTCAAAAATGTTTTCTCTAAGGGGAACGGTAACTGTGATTAACAGCAATGCACTGTGTTAGAAGTTATATACTAAGGTAGAGTCATCATACTCTAAAACCATTATATATAGGTTACACAAACATGAACTACATTATATCATTCAAATCATATTTTGGTTATGAAAATGTGGCAATATTGCACTTGAGAGAGAAGGCATTTACCTCTGGCAACTGGTTTCAATGGTCTTTGATGTGACTGGTTAGTTGTTTTCTGTCCTCTCAGATATCTACAGATACAATACAGCATTAACCAAAGACAATAATCTTCAGATACGGAGCTATTGTTTAATGCTCTAGTACTGTAATGCTCAGGCAATTATATCTTACCTGTTTGTGATGAACTTAGATGTTGGTTACCCTGGGCACCTGTGGTGCAACATTGTATGGGGAGAAAGGGTTTTAAATGAGCAATTAGCTTATTAACTATTAACAGTCCAATCTTCCCCAGATATCTGGCACAGTCAATCAAGAGAGATTTCATATTAGGGTGCCTTCAAATCAAAACTCATAAAATGCATGTCTGACAGCGGTGGGGTGGGGAGAAATGATTCGGTAGAAATGCTTTTCCACGTTTTCAATTGGTTGACCGATACCTCTTTTAGACTTTTCTGACGGACAACGCAACACAACTCTAGAAACAATCAAGTCAATCTTACCTGTCTGGAGTGAGCCTTCTTGTGTGGTCTTGTCTTGATGGTTATGGCCTCTGTCTCCCAGAGTATGGTAGAAGGTACCAAACCTGCTTGATTTTATAACATATGCTGAAGAGGGAAGTTCTCATTTCAAATAGTAAAATCAATATATATGTATTTTTTAAAATTCAAATTAGAGCTAATAAATAGTTTCCAGAGAATTGGCATCATCACAAAGTAAATACAGCACACAATGTTCCCAGTGTGTCACGATCGTCGGATATAGAGGACCAAGGCGCAGCGTGGAAGGTGAACATACTTATATATTAAATGATGACTGTAAGTCGCTTTGGATAAAAGCGTCTGATAAATGGCATATTATTATTATTATTATTATTATTATTATACACGAACAAAACAACAAATCGATACGTGACGTCTACAGGTGCAAAACACAAACCAACACGGAACAAGATCCCACAAACACTGTGGGAAAACCACCTGACTAAATATGGTTCCCAATCAGAGACAACCAGCAACAGCTGATACTCGTTGCCTCTGATTGAGAACCACTCTGGCCAACATAGATATACAAAAACTAGACTAGACACAACGAGCACAAAACATAAACTCTACACACCCTGGCTCAACTTAAAAGAGTCCCTAGAGCCAGGGCGTGACAGTACCCCCCCCCTAAAGGCGCGGACTGCGACCGCGCCTAAACATCACCGAACAGGGGAGGGCTGGGTGGGCATTCCTCCTCGGAGGCGGTTCCGGCTCCGGGCTTGACCACCACCCTCTACTAACCCCCCCGTAGTGCCCCTGGTCTGGTCTAGCCCCACTGGCTGGAGCTGGACTGGACTTCGGTGGAGCGGATTGCTCAGGCTCCGGTGTGAAGCAGCTGACCGGTACCTGACCAGGCACCGGTGAAACGGGCACGGGCTGGCGATGCGCACCACAGGTTTGGTGCGGGGAGCAGGAACAGGCCGGACCAGGCTGGCGACGCGCACCATTGGCTTGGTGCGGGGAGCAGGAACAGGCCGGGCCGGGCTGGCGACGCGCACCACTAGCTTGGTGCGGGAAGCAGGAACAGGCCGGACCGGGCTGGCGACGCCCAACATTGGCTTGGTGCGGGGAGCAGGAACAGGCCGGGCCGGGCTGGCGACGTGCACCACTAGCTTGGTGCGGGAAGCAGGAACAGGCCGGACCGGGCTGGCGACGCGCACCATTGGCTTGGTGCGGGGAGCAGGAACAGGCCGGGCCGGGCTGGCGACACGCACCATAGGCTTGGTGCGAGGGGCAGGAACAGGCCGGGCCGGGCTGGCGACACGCACCATAGGCTTGGCGCGATGGACAGGAACAGGCCGGACCATACTGGGAACACACACCACTGGCCTTACACGGGGATCAGGCACGGGCCGGACCGGACTGGCAACACACTTCAGTACCTCTCGCCGTGCCTCTACATTTTCCTTCCCTCTATACACCAATGGCTCCCATAACCCGGTGGCCTTCTCTCCTCGTCCACCAACTCGCCCCTTGTCTGCCTCCAGTGGCCCAGTCGTCCCTGCCATGTGCCCCCCCCTAAAAATGTCTTGGGGGTGCCCCTCGCCTGTCCGACAACTGCCCGGTTGGCGCCGCTTCTCCTCTCCTGCCTGGGCACGCTGCTTGGTCCTGTATTGGTGGGATCTTCTGTCACGATCGTCGGATATAGAGGACCAAGGCGCAGCGTGGAAGGTGAACATACTTATATATTAAATGATACTCGAACAAAACAACAAATCGATACGTGACGTCCACAGGTGCAAAACACAAACCAACACGGAACAAGATCCCACATACACTGTGGGAAAACCACCTGACTAAATATGGTTCCCAATCAGAGACAACCAGCAACAGCTGATACTCGTTGCCTCTGATTGAGAACCACTCTGGCCAACATAGATATACAAAAACTAGACTAGACACAACGAGCACAAAACATAAACTCTACACACCCTGGTTCAACTTAAAAGAGTCCCTAGAGCCAGGGCGTGACACAGTGGCGATTTGAACATTTTTTTTATTTTTATTTCACCTTTATTTAACCAGGTAAACCAGTTGAGAACAAGTTCTCATTTACAACTGCGACCTGGCCAAGATAAAGCAAATCAGTGCGATAAAAACAACAACACACAGTTACATATGGGGTAAAACAAAACAAAGTCAAAAAAATACAACAGAAATACATATATATACAGTGTGTGCAAATTTAGCAAGATGTTGGTGTTGGTGAGACAAACTCTATCAAAAAGTTGATTTGCATTGAAACCACTACATTACACTACATATTGAATGCAGAATAATAACCAACGGCAGAAATGAGTTTTGAGCTACACACACAAACATTTTAACTTTGGGTGATGATGAAGTTTATAGGCTGCTTCCCATGTCCTTACCTGTTATTGCACCACTGTGGAACACGGGAGTCGAGCATATACTTTTACAGAGTAAAGTTGATTTGACTTTAGATAATAAAATCCAGCGTAGCCTATCACGCGCAACCAGGGAAGATGGAGGGTAGCCCCTTTCTAGCCCTGCCGCTACAGAGAGCACTAAGTGAGGCTGAAACAGTTGCATTACTGCAGCTACAGAGAGCACTAAGTGAGGCTGAAACAGTTGCATTAGGGCAGCTACAGCGAGCACTAAGTGAGGCTGAAACAGTTGCATTAGGGCCGCTACAGAGAGCACTAAGTGAGGCTGAAACAGTTGCATTAGGGCAGCTACAGAGAGCACTAAGTGAGGCTGAAACAGTTGCATTAGGGCAGCTACAGAGAGCACTAAGTGAGGCTGAAACAGTTGCATTAGGGCAGCTACAGAGAGCACTAAGTGAGGCTGAAACAGTTGCATTAGGGCAGCTACAGAGAGCACTAAGTGAGGCTGAAACAGTTGCATTAGGGCAGCTACAGAGAGCACTAAGTGAGGCTGAAACAGTTGCATTAGGGCCGCTACAGAGAGCACTATGTGAGGCTGAAACAGTTGCATTAGGAAAGCTGCCTTCCTCTAAGAAAATTAAAACAACAATACAACAGGAATTGACCACGTAATGTTAATTACCAACTTAAAATCCTTCCGTTTATAATTCTCTACTGGTCCTGTAGGACTTTTTTCCCTTCAAAAAACACACACATCCCACTGTAAATAAGCCAGCTAGATACTGCTCACAGAGAGGGCTCGGGGGCAGATGTCACGATCGTTGAACGAAGTGGACCAAGGCGCAGCGTGATGAGCGAACATACTTTATTATCAAAAGTGATAACACGAACAAAACAATAAACGATAACGTGACGTCCTAGGTTAAACACAACCAACACGGAACAAACCAAAAGGAACAAGATCCCACAACAACTGTGGGAAAACAGCTTGTTTAAATGTGGTTCCCAATCAGAGACAACCAGCAACAGCTGACACTCGTTGCCTCTGATTGAGAACCACACTGGCCAACATAGAAATGAAACAACTAGAACTACAACACAGAACATAAACACATATAATCTACACACCCTGGCTCAACATATAGAGTCCCCAGAGCCAGGGTGTGACAGTACCCCCCCCCCCCCCCCAAAGGCGCGGACTGCGACCGCGCCTCAACATAAACCAAACAGGGGAGGGCTGGGTGGGCATTCCTCCTCGGAGGCAGTTCCGGCTCCGGGCTTGCCCACCACCCTCCAATAATCCCCCCGTAGCGCCCCTGGTCCGGTCTGGCCCCGCTGGCTGGAGCTGGACTGGACATCGTAGGAGCGGATTGCTTAAGCTCCGGTGTGGAGCAGCTGACCGGTACCTGACCAGGCACCGGTGACCCAGGCACGGGTTGTGCCGGACTGACGACGCGCACCCCTGGCTTGGTGCGTTGAGCAGGAACGGGCCGGACCGGGCTGACGATGCGCACCCCTGGCTTGGTGCGTGGAGCAGCATCGGGCCGGACCGGGCTGACGATGCGCACCCCTGGCTTGGTGCGTGGAGCAGCATCGGGCCGGACCGGGCTGACGATGCGCACCCCTGGCTTGGTGCGTGGAGCAGGAACGGGCCGGACCGGGCTGACGATGCGCACCCCTGGCTTGGTGCGTGGAGCAGCAACGGGCCGGACCGGGCTGACGATGCGCACCCCTGGCTTGGTGCGTGGAGCAGGAACGGGCCTTACCGGGCTGACGACTCGCACCCCTGGCTTGGTGCGAGTGGCAGGAACAGGCCGGGCCGGGCTGGCGACGCACACCGTAGGTTTGGTGCGAGTGGCAGGAACAGGCCGGGCCGGGCTGGCGACGCGCACCGTAGGCTTGGTGCGAGGGGCAGGAACAGGCCGGGCCGGGCTGGCGACGCATACCGTAGGTTTGATGCGAGTGGCAGGAACAGGCCGGGCCGGGCTGGCGACGCGCACCGTAGGCTTGGTGCGAGGGGCAGGAATAGGCCGGGCCGGGCTGGCGACGCGCACCGTAGGCTTGGTGTGAGGGGCAGGAACAGGCCGGGCCGGGCTGGCGACGCACACCGTAGGTTTGGTGCGAGGGGCAGGAACAGGCCGGGCCGGGCTGGCGACGCGCACCGTAGGCTTGGTGCGAGTGGCAGGAACAGGCCGGGCCGGGCTGGCGACGCGCACCGTAGGTTTGGTGCGAGTGGCAGGAACAGGCCGGGCCGGGCTGGCGACGCGCACCGTAGGTTTGGTGCGAGTGGCAGGAACAGGCCGGGCCGGGCTGGCGACGCGCACCGGAGGTTTGGTGCGAGTGGCAGGAACAGGCCGGGCCGGGCTGGCGACGCGCACCGTAGGCTTGGTGTGAGGGGCAGGAACAGGCCGGGCCGGGCTGGCGACGCACACCGTAGGCTTGGTGCGAGGGGCAGGAACAGGCCGGGCCGGGCTGGCGACGCGCACCGTAGGCTTGGTGCGAGTGGCAGGAACAGGCCGGGCCGGGCTGGCGACACGCACCGTTGGCTTGGTGCGTGGAGCAGGAACAGGCCGGGCCGGGCTGGCGACGCGCACCGTAGGCTTGGTGCGAAGGGCAGGAACAGGCCGGGCCGGGCTGGCGACGCGCACCGTAGGCTTGGTGCGAGGGGCAGGAACAGGCCGGGCTGGGCTGGCGACGCGCACCGTAGGCTTGG